TAGATAGATAGATAGATAGATAGATAGATAGATAGATAGATAGATAGTAGCAAGTAAGCATAAACTAAGAGTCTATGTTCTGACAAAGGAAAGACGCTCACAACATTTTTTGCACTTTTGATTTTATTTGCTCATAGCAGATTTTACAGAGATTTGAGTTGATCATTAAAGTTGTATAACCACGTATTAGGCTTCTGTTTAAAGTTAATTTTCAATTTATGTCAAGTATATCAGTTAATGCACTACTACTTATGCACTTTTCACTTGTGAACAGGTTGAGTTTAGATTAGTAAAAATTTACAAATGTGCACTGTTCGAGTGTTGTCATTGTGTTAGAGAATAAACGTCATGAATAAATTTGACATTAAACATAATCCAAGTGGAAGTGTTGCATCATCTTCAGCCCCTTTTTGGCATCTGGATTTGTTAGCAGACCAAACTGACAAAGAGCGTGCAGAATAATGAAGTGTTTTATTTCCACGGCAGAGAAAGCTCTTTAGTCTCTGTAAGTAGGTCTAGTGGGAAAAATATCAGAATTGGTATCAGTTATCGGCCAAATAAGTTTTAACATATCAGCATCTGGGATATTGGCCAGAAATCCAATATCATGCATGTCTATAATTTACACAAATTTTAGAATGAAAAGAGAAAAATTTCCCGGAGTAAAGTAAGATTTATATTTTAAAGAAGTAAAGATGAGAAAATCTGTTTCCCCATTTAATGAAAAGTAAGAAGTCAGTTTTGTGGCTGTTTGTCACCAAGAAAAGCAGTGAAAAGTTGTTTTTCTTTGAAAATACTTTGGTCAAAAGCCTCGTAGACTGAGGAAGTGCCCCATGAAAGATAATGCAGCACTAATCAGCTGATCAAACACAAACAGCAGCTCAACACAGAGATAAGAAGAGATGAGCCCAACCAGGAGGGAGAACCTGTAAACCACAATGAACTTGTCTTGTGTGTTTGCACGCAGGTTATTTTTCTGTGTTTTCATTTTTGTTATTTTAGTTTAGGTTTCCTTAAAAATCATTCTGAAATCCATCCATCCATTATCTTTAGCTGCTTCTTCCTTTAAATATGTTCACGGGGGCGGCACGGTGGATCAGTTGGTACAGCTGCCTCCTCTCAGTGAGAAGGTCACCGGACTGAATCTCGACCGGGGGCCTTTCTGGGTGGAGTTTGCATGTTCTCTCCGTGCATGTGTGAGATTTCTCCAGGTACTCTGGTTTCCTCCCACAGATAAAAACATGCATGTTAGGCTGATTGGGTGAGAGAGAGAGAGAATGGTTGTCTCGTTTGTCTCTATGTGTCCCTGTGATGAACTGGAGACATGTCCAGGGTCTCTCGCACAGTGACTTCTGGATATGGGCACCAGTGACCCCCACAGCCCAGAATGAAGGAGCAGATAAAAGACGATGGATGTATTAACTGTACAGATGTTTTTCAACATGAAACCCATTTACAAAGTGCCGTTTGTCTCCAGCTGCAGGATGTGCTCTCTCAGACTGCCATCTAGAGGCACGTCCTCTAAATAAATGTAGCGCTGCGTCTCACAAGCACATTTTGACTAAAAGATTTATTCAAAGCAAAGGAAAAGTTGCTCAGCTCTGAGCCACTTCTAAAGTTTCTAACGTTCGCTTTTCAGAGAATAACCTCGTTTTCTGACCCCACATGGGTCGTCCTTCTGTTTGCTCCTCAGCTGCCTCCAAACTGCAAACATCTGGACGCCCAGCAGGTCTGGGAGTCTCTGATAGTCCACTATGTGTCCTGATGTGTGTCAGGCTGGGACACCGGAGTCCCATTCTGCTTTTATTACTGGAAAGATAAGAAAAAGCAAAGAAGAAGAAGATGGAGCTCCACTGATGGTTTTGTTCTTGTTTGTTTGTTCAGATTCATGCAGGTGAAATTTCACAAACTCTCCAATATTTCTTCAGTCGATGCCAGAGGGTTGGGAGTCGTGTTATTCCTGGCAGCTGTAGGAATCATCGCTCCAGGTTAGCTTGTTATTCTGGAACCTCTAGCAAACACGTGTATCATCGAACAGTCCAGATATGTGGAGGAAAAAAGACTGACATTGTTCTTCGTCATCAGGTTTTTTACAGAAAATCAATGTGGTAAAACAGCGATCAATATTTAAATTCAATACAAGATGACTTGTTATTGATTCGGATGATGAAATGTATTATGTTAAAGCATGTCGAGCGATAAACTCAAATCTTATTTTGTAACGTTTCACTTTCATTTCATTCTTTTGTCTTTAAACTAAAGCTTCCTCTGTGTTTTTGTCCATGTCTAAAGACGACGTCTCTGTAAATTCACCATTTGTTGTTTACCCAGAATCAGCAGCAAGTTTAGTGATAAAAAAGCATCGTTATAATTTTAAAAAGGACCAGAAACACATCTTAAAATAAATGTAAAACTTGCTCAGCTTTAGCTGGATGCTGTTTCCTAACAACTCTGTTTTAACAGCTTAAGGTGATGATGTTTGTGTTGTGTTCACCACGTTATCACTTTCCTTTCAGCTCCAGGTCGATATAAAACAATTATTACACATTTAAACATTGTGCACGTATACCCTAAGATTATGCATTTATTTATGCATCTTTAAATAAAACTGTCTGGCTCATTTTTCTGACTAATGGCAGCAAGGTAATCAAGTCATTGTTATATCTAATTTATCGCAGGTATTTTTAGATTACTGTTCACTTTGTTCTGTGTCATCAATACCCAGAGCTATAAAGTCCAGTCTTGTCATCACAACCCAGCCGGTGCACGTCTGCAAACTGTTTAAATATTATATTTCAGATTAGTCCAGTCCTCTCCTGTCTCTCTTAATCAAACACTAAAAGAAGTCCTAGATTAATCAAATACCGTATTTTTCAGATGCATCGGATTATATGGTGCAATAATCAATGAACGGGTCTGTTTTCATACATAATGTTGATTTTTGATCACATTAAAGGATTTTAACTGCGCCTTATAGTCCGAAAAATACGGTCATCGTAACTCAGCTGCTGCGTCATCGGTCGGGTTGGTTTGATCAAACATTGAGTGAAATTTTGTTTCATTCGTCACAGTCTTCAACATCTGAAGCCAGAAGATGATCAGATCTGATTGGACCTCTGCTTTGGGATTTGTAGGCTCAGTGATAACAACAAAACAGTTAAAGCATTTCATCTGGACCAGTTTCTTTAAGGGAGAAATGTTTCGTCTTCCATCCGAATGACTTCATCAGTCTGTGGTCCAGGTCTGTCCCATAGGTATCCTCCACTGCTGTTTCAAGACAACCTCCTGTTGGACTCTCAGAAGCAGTCAAGATCCCAACAGGAGGTTGTCTTGAAACAGCAGTGGAGGATACTTATGGGACAGAGCTGGACCACAGAGTGATGAAGTCATCAGGATGGAAGACGAAACGTTTCTCCCTTAAAGAAACTCGTCCAGATGAAATAATTTAACCTTTTTTTTTTCTGCTTGGAGATGTAACGAGCAAAGGCTGGACAGTAGAACCAACGTGTAAGACGATGTTCAACTTGGTTGGCTTTATTAATTAACCATAATGTGGAATATTCAAATTTATATAATTGTGAAATAAATTGTATTTTTTACTTTCATAGTGCTATATCTATATTATGTTATATTTTTATAATTTTTTAGGCATGTTTTTAAGCGTGTTTGCACTGAAAAAGGAGTGGCTCTCATTGTACTTAATTATAATGACAATAAAGGCCTCCCATTCTATTTCTGGTCCATTAATGAGTTTAATTCATACCAGACAATTAATCTGGATCTATTTGTATCATTAGTTGGCGCTAGCTGATGTGTTTCGTATCAGCTAGCGTCAATTGTTTAAAGACACTCTGTAACGTGTAAACTTTAGTTAGCTCTGAACAACAAAGTCCATGCTCAAGAATCCAGGTACACAATCCAACATTTTTCAGTCAGGTCATCTGGACAGTTTCTTTTTTGTGTGCTGAAACGTTTCGCCTTCGATCCAGAAGGCTTCATCAGTCAAGGAAAGTGATGAAAAATGTTGGATTAGCTCTGAACAGTTAGTCTGGTTCCATTAGTTGGTGCTCGCTGGCACTGAGACGTCAACACGTTTGTTCAAATCAATAAAAGTGACCTTCAGGTTGATGTTTGTTCGTTTCCACCTCCTTTTGAGAAGTGAGAACATTTTTAATTTAGAATCACTCCAGTTTTGAGCTGGCAGTGAAACAAGGTTGCTCTTCACTTCTGTGAGTTTGTTCTGAGTGATGGAGCAGCACTGATGTCGAAGCGACTCGAAGCTGCTGCCAGCGTGGCGTCAACCAGCTGAAGGGTCAGCTCCAACACGGCTGAGCCAGATGCCTGGCTCTCAAACTGAAAACTAATTACTCGTGTCACCTTTAATAACTCGCATCAGTGAATGCATTTTTTTTACCCCATAATTTCTGGCAAAGCTCCAGTGTGTACAAGAAGATGTTGAAAAAACATATTAGCTGAGGCAACGAAGGTGGATGAGACAGAGTCACTCATAAATAAGTAAGTGGCTCCAAGGTGCGTTTGTTTTCTTGCTCTTGCTGTTGAACTGGTTTCACTGGGTAAAGCTGTAGTCCCACCACGTCTGACACAGCAGGCAGCAGTTGATACTTCTCCACCTGGTCCAGGACGTAACAGTCTCTTATTCCCAGAACCAGCGCAACGTAAGGTGCAGCTGAGACTTACAGGCTGGCACTGCAGAGAGGAGGTGTCCATGACACATCACAGTATCATGTGCAATATGAACTTTTTTAGAAAAACCACTACATTTCTGAGTTTTAAGCTCATGTGACACTTTAAATTCAAGTTTAGGTGTTTCCGTGCACCAACTCACACCCTCGAGTTCTGCAGAAGCCCCATTTAATAAAATCAGGTGTGTTAAAACATACAAAGCATATTTCAGCCTTTTTATTAGTTTTAATAAACTTCTTGCTTGTACTTTTCATGTGATTGTTTATCCATAAATCCAAAGTAATGGCATCATTTCACTGAGTTGTGTTATAAAACTGTTGTTGGTCTTTTGTTGGTTCAAACTTTACAATAACTGAAATGATCATGTGGTCAAAATGTGTTTAAATATGTCTCGACCTTTGCATTTTTGTTAATAATTTTTTTTTAAAGTAGCTTCTTCATTATAATTAAAGTTTCTTTTTTTGTCTTTGGTGTTGTTTTTGGACTTCACTAACGATCCTCCACAAAAAACACAGTTAGCGCAATAACGTTTGCAGCCACTAGGGGGCAACATCCCTGAGGCCCCCCTTGGTATTGACAAATATACATCAGCCACACACATATTGTTTTGAGGTTTTTGTTCTCTTTTGGGTTTTTTTTAAGCAAATAATAAGTTAGAAAAAATAATTTTCCTCCTTGTTTATCACATTTTGCTCAATTGCATCAGAAATGACGTCTGATTTGCCAAAACAGCAAGGACGGACACAAACTTGGATGAGATCAGAAACGGGCGGTGGTGAGGATGACCCGATATCTAGAGAGGAAGAAAGGTCACCAAACACACTTTTCCACCCATTCCAGCTCACACACACACACACACACACACTTGCAGTGCTGCTTGCCAGATGAGGGTGTGATACATGGCTGCTGTCACTGCTTCCTTCACTACATCAGGACTCGCACAGCATAGAAACTGCAGCACAATATACTGCTCGCTGAAGATCCATTGAAACACTACCTGAGGAAGGGGGGAGCACCCTCGGCCATCTGTTCAACACTCAGGGGACAGGAGTGTTTAATCAAATACTGACAAAGGTGAAAAGGTACTTTCAGCAGAATGATGCAGCAACCCTGCTAATATATCCTCAAAAACTTGAGCCGAACTTCAGCTGGGACTTTTATACCGAAACAGATGAGAACAAACGAGCAGTCAACTATAATTAAGTCTACAAAGTAGGTTTAATAGTTTTGAAAATAGATCAACATGTGCACAGGACAAGGTGTGAGAACAGACAGCATTTATTCTTTCAGGCCTTAAAGTCCAGTTACTTCCTGACAATAACAGAATACACAAAGTATAAATACACATTTTCCTTTTCGAATCTGAAAGCCCTTTGCTGTGGCTTTATCGTCGTGCAGAACTTAACATCACATAACCAAACGATCATGGTGCGAGCAAAGGAGCGCATCTTCTTGTCATCAATCACTACGTCGCCAAGACAAATTAAATGTCTTTTGTCTGGACGGAGATAAACTCTCCATCAATTAATTCACCATCAATCTAACAGTTTTTATTCAGACAGGAGGAAGACGTGAGGAAAAACAAAATAAAAAAGAAACAATACCAGGATGAAGCTCTCCTGTCACGCCCATTCACCGTGCCCGTCGTGCTCTCACCTTTGACCCAGAACCACCCACACGCTCACATAACTCCGTCCACGCGTTTGAACGAAACAAATCAAACTTGGGATGGATCAGAGATCGACTGGGACAAAATGGAACAGTTCTAACAAAAACACGTGTTTTAAAGTTACTCGTTGCAAATTTGTGGAGACAAGACACAAAACAAAATCATAAAGTAAAAAAATATCTGCACAACACATCATCAACGTTTGACTTCATACTTTGCAATGAGGACCTTTGAAAGTACACGTCGTACGGAGAGTCGTGTTAACTTAACTTTTTGCCAGCTTTCGAGCCTCTGTCAGCAAAATAACCCTGAATACATATTCCCAGTACAATTAAAGAATGTTCTTTGACATACCAGGTGCAACCTGAGTCAGTCATTGGTCATTTTTCCAGTAAGGCGTTAAATAAAACATTTGTCAAAGTCTTTTTTCAGATACAGTAAATGAGATGTCTACCACCCAGTTCACAATCACTGGGTTAATCTGTAAATAAAACTAGAGGGATTGCATTTCCGGCAAAAATGCAGTGTGAATACTTATTGCTGAAAAACAGCTGAAATTAGCTAAAAACATGCTGAAATGAAGCTGAAGGGGAAGAACAAGCCCAAGTTAGCAGAAGATATCAGAAAGTACACATATTTGCTGAATTTGGGTTAAATAAGCAGAAATTAGCAAAAATAAATGTAAATTAGCTTTAAAAAGCTGAAAAATAGCTGAAAAGGCTAGAAGAAGCTTAAAATACCAGAAGAGTGAGAGTGCCATTGTGCCTAATTAGACTTAAAGAAGCAGAAATTAGCACAAAAAAGTAGAAATTATCTGGAAAAAAGCAGAAATTAAAAAAAAAAAAAACAGCTGAAGAGTAGCTTAAATAGCAGAAAGAAGCTTAAATTACTAGAAGTAACTGGAGAGAGCACATTTGTGCTGAATTAGCCTGAAAAAAGTTTAAATGATTGTAAAAAAAAGTGGATTCAGCTTAAAATGTTGAAATTAGCATAAAACAGCTGAAATTAGCTGAAATAGCTTTTTTTTTTTTTATTTGCACAAGGAATCTGAAAGAAGCTGAACCAGAACAAAATGTGAAAGGAGGAGTGAAAGGTTTTAAACAGATTAGAAGATTTAAAGGATTTAAAATTAACTCGATTCATTTCCTATGAGGGAAAAAGTGGCAGAAAAGGCTAAATGTTTCAAAAAGCTAAAGTTGCACCAACACCAAAAGTCATGGCAGGAAGATGCCGAACAATGTATGAAAGAAAACTGGATCACAGTGAACATGAACATTCACACAACAAACTCTAAGCTGGTTTCTCAACATGGCTCCTTGTAGCTGAAGGACATTTCAAGGTCCTCAGGTGTGAGACAAATGTAAGCTTGTCAGAAACATTCAGTCTTACAGGTGAAGCAGCAGTCCTAGGATGGACGTCCTGGAGGCAGTGGTTTTATTTAAGGGGTGCCATCCCCGTTTTTGGTCTTCAGCACCACCAGGCTCACCATCACTGGGATCAGACAGATGGGAGTGATCACCAGGGCGAAGACGATAGGCGGCGGCGGGTCACTGAACTCCTCTGTGGAGCATTCCTGGAAGAACTGGGAATGGATGTTCACAAACGTCTCCTCCACCAGTGGATTGGGCCACGGGATCCGGAGACAGTCAGATATGTTCTCTGTGCAGAGGCTCAAGTCGCTGTATAAACTGCAGACAAACGCAACGTGACAAGTGAGCGTGACACGAGAAAACATTTATTTAACGAACTGATCATTAAATATTTTTACCTGTTCACTTTACCCCAGACACACCAGTCCGAGTCATTTAGCGAAGTCATTGCAGAATTAAAGTCTTGCAGGCACATGTGCTCAAACAGCGCAGAGAGGCACGTCATTGTTGGACCGTTAAACACCTCGTCGCAAATCTCACACAACTCCGTACATTGATGAGAATTATTCCCACAGGCTGCAAGGATTAAAGTTAGAAACTCATTAGAAAAAATCAAACATGGGCATATTTAAAAAAAACTTGATTTAGTTCCAATTTATACTTTTGTTACAGACTCAGTCCCTGCAGAATATTGTGTGAACGCTGCTTCTGCAGGGGTCGCCACAGAGAGCAGACGTGCGTGAAACATGTGTTTTACGCCGGATACCCTTCCTGACTCAACTTGGGCTAGCCTCAGGATTACAAGACCGCAACAGGGACCACCGCGCCACCGCGCCACCGCAACCCCAGCGTGATGTATGAATGAAATGTAAAATATGTCACCTACCAGTCGGCAGGGGAGTGTGTCCAAGGACGTCTAAACGAGAGAAAAAACACAATTTCAAGTTTGAAACGTGTAAAAAGTGAACTTAAAACGCTCGTTCCGTTCAAGTGCGTACTGTGAGATCGTTGATAGAATTTTTCTGGCCGGGTGAATCTGTTTTACAGCACAACTGTGCAGCCGGCTGCAGAAGAGAGACCACACACTCACCGGAGAGAAAGGAGAGGAATACCCCAAAGAAACCAACAGCTCCCTTCATGTCAGAAAAAAAAGAATTAAGGTGCGTGTTCCCCGAGTGATGAAGCTCTCAGACTGTGCACGGCGAGGCATAACAGGAAGCCCGGCAGGATTATCTTCGGTTAACAGATGTCCAAATAACGTTACCAGCGGTTACCAGATGTTCTTCTGAGATCTGTGTGATGGCCCTGCGCCTTGGCAGCAGCTCTTCCCCTCTCCAACTCACGTTTCTTCAAGATTTTCTCCCTTTTTGAAAGGGGTGGAGGAACCAAGATTGTCCTCTATTCTCCCAAATGAAAGGAGCACACCCAAGCTGGGGCTGGACTCACATCTGAAAACCCTTTACTCTTTAACTCTTGTTCTGCTTTTTAGTCTCAGTTTCTCACAGTCGAAGGCCTGGCCAGCTCACAGCATGTGATTTATTTGCCTTTTGGGCCGCCTCTGCCAAATAGGAAACATAAGTAAACATTTAGGGCTTAGCGTTTTGGGGAGGATGTAACTGCGGGGTGTTTTGCACAGACACAATTTCAGATTTAGCTTAATTTGATCAAACTTGAAACAAGTTAAAAGTCATAACTGACCGGAACTCTTTTTATGTTTCGGCTGGAGTTAAAATCTTTGGTTTTGTGTCATAATTGTGGTAAATCTGTTGAATATTTTCTCAAATCTTTTTCAAGAGAGGCTGTTTCGCTGATTCAGTACAAACTCAAATCTGCCTCGTGAAGTTTAAGCTACAGAATCCACATGTTGAGCCTCATACATGCAACATCTGTTTGCTGAGCAGCATTTTGATTTAGTAATGACATGAGGAAATGTGTCTTTTCAGCAGAGGAGGAGCTCAGAGTTGGGGGTGTTGGCAAGAGAAAGGGGTTGGGGGACAGTCAGGGAAAGAAAAAACAAAAAAATAAAACCAAGGCACAGGATGAGGAACAGCGAAGTGGGCGCCGCTCCAACTTCCAGTTGTTTCACAACTCCGAGTTCATGCGTTGATCGCTGACGTCGCGTGGGGTGAATGACGAACAAAGTCAGGAAGTGCAGTCGAGGGGGGGGGCTGTTCATAATGAGGTTTCATTTAACCTTTAACCCCAAACCTTTACGGGCCTCATATCTACCGCTGTCGAGCCCTCTCTGGTAGAGACCTCCCCAGGAGTTTATCTTGGATTCAAACGACAGTACACCCGAGGAGATGTCCTGGCAGAAACCAGATTCTCTGAGCTCTGTTTTCTGGGTTTGTTCTGTCCAAGACTGGCTAAACACATCAGTTTCAAGAAGAGATCCAACCCCCCCAGAACACATCGTCTGGAACCACACAGCATCTTAAACCCAAATTATGTTTTTCTGTGTTATTGTTTAGGATTCTATGAAAAATTGGTACATATTTTGGCTGTGGTCAGGAAATAATCCTAAAAAACACAATTAATTAATACAAGCTTTATTTCTACAGGTTAGTCTCATTGAGCCACGAGGACTCGTTTACAGAGAGACCTGATTTAAAGAAAGAACACAGACAACAACATGCAGTCATATAAAATGAAAGAGAAGAAATTATATTTAAAAAGAAACAAAAAAAAACAGCTAGATTATAAGGCGATGTAGAAAAATAAAAACGGGAACTTATCAGATGTTTGAAGACACTTAGAGAGGTCAAAGGTCGAGAGCTTCAGATCTTTTTGTAAGATATTCCAGGAAACAGGAGCGGAGTAGGAGAAGGTCCTTTTGTCTAGTTCAGTCCTCACTGAGGGAACACTGCAGGTAATGATGTCCTGAGAGCGCACGCTGTAGCTGCACTCACACAGAGACATGTAGGAGGAGATGTATGAAGGCAGCAGACCAGGAAGTGATTTAAAGATGAAAATGTACCAGTGAGAGAGTCTGTGTGGAGTTAATGGTGACCAGTTAACCAGTGAATACTGGGTGCAGTGGTGGGTACGATAATCACAGCCAGTTATGAATCTTAGTGCACCATGATAGACAGCATCCAACATCTGCAGCATCCAACATCTGCAGCATCCAACATCTGCAGCATCCAACATCTGCAGGTTCTTGTAGGAGCGTTCATGTAAATAATGTCACCGTAATCAATGGAGGGAAGGAAAGTCACAGATACAAGGTGTTTCCTAACATTCAGAGTTAGACGGGATCTGTTTCTGAAAAAGAAACCCAGTTTAACTTTCAGTTTCTTTACCAAGTTTTCGACATGAGGCTTAAAAGAGAGATGTGAGTCGACCACTCAAGTTTGAGATTAAACAAATCTGACTGGATGATGTCGAACGCAGACTGTAAAAACTGAAAAACCTTAGCAGCTGTTTTAGCTCGACAATAAACAACCGTGTTGTCGGCCTGAATGGAATAATCGGACCTACATTACTTATGTAGATTGTAAAGAGGTTGGGTCCTAAGACTGAACCTTGTGGTACACCGATGTTAACAGTTAGATAGCTGGAGGAAGTACCATTATGTTGAACACATTGCCTCCGGTCTGAGAGATAGTCAGAGAACCAACCAATGGTGTGTTCTGAGAAACCAGTTCTGAGATCTTCTGACACAAGATGTTCTGATCCACAGAGTCAGAATCTTTAGACAGGTCTAAGAAACGTGCAGCACAATAATCCTCAGCATCCAGTGCTTCAACAACATCGTTAAAAACCTTCAGTGAAGCAGTGGTTGTGCTGTGTTGCTTCCTGAAACCAGATTGATGTGGAGGTGAGATGTTAAATGAGTCCAAACACTTCTTGACCTGATCAGTTTCTCTAAAATCTTAGCTAAAATACAGAGTTCAGAGATCGGTCGATACTTGATGCATACTTAACATTCACTGAGTAATGACTGGCACCTCTTCATGTTGGAGTTTTGCAGAATTCTAGCCGTTTTATTCAAATCGACAAAAAACGCTATGCACACTCAGCGTATGTGCTGCGAATGACTCTCAGCTACCTCCACGTTAAATTTTAGCTCAATCTTTGTAAAAATTGACCGAGTTATACTCGTTTCTGTGTTGGCTGAGGTTGACTAGCTGAGGCAGCTATCTTCATAAATAACTGCCGCTAAAGCTGAATTAGTTGTAGCTTCACATCCAATGATTATTTTTTTCTGCACGTTTCATCAAATGTGCACAGACACAGACAAACACGAACGCAGTTGATAAAAAATAAAATAAAATGCTGAAACTCACTCATAGTCTCTTCATGTGCTGAGGGGTAACCTATATAGAAGGGATGCTGTGTTAGTAGAATATTGCTGGTCATGCATATTTATTATTATTATTATTATTATTATGATTATATAAAAAGTCTTTAAAGTACCTGTAGTTGCTGTGACCGGCTGCACTGTTCCTTTGTCATTGACCAGGCAGATCACTGTTGAGCATCCTGGAATGAGAAAGTCTAATGAGTAGAATTCATGCTGACATGAAGAACAACACTTGCGTAAACTGAAACACTTTTCCAACCAGATCCTGCTCGTTTGGGACCGTGAAGCTGTGAACGTGCAGAGGAAATAAACTCGGGCGAAGCTGTGGCAACTCGGCAGGTCAGTGCATCCTCTCTTTGTCTCCCGCTTCTTTAAGGAAGTCCTCGTTTATTTAGAGACTTTTAAAATTACCTACAAGAATTCCTCTCACACCGAAGTGAAACATCTAATTCAGGCTTTGACACGATTTGTTTAAAATAACAATAGGCTTAGTGCCGTTATTCTCTCCAAGAAACAATAAAATCTTTGTTTTGAAGATCAGTTTTATTGAAATTGTCCAGTCCAGCCATGTGAATGAACTAAACTAACTAAATTGCTTCTTTTTTAAAAACACCTCATGTTCTTTTAGGAGGAGAACCAAAGAGCAACAGATAAATATATATATATTTTAAAAAAGAATTCACTCACCCCAAATAAGAAGAGCTGCTAAACTCCCATAAAAACCAGAAGAGACTGTGGTGGCTGTCATTTTCCCCAACAAAGCTCTGTCCATCCTGAGAGCTGGGCCGGGACAACACATCTCAACCTTTTTCACAGGAAGCCTCTAAAAAACAACAGGAAACCCTCGTTTCCAAGTCTGGGCGGATTCACCGAGTGGGGTGACCCTCTGATCATGTTCGAACCCAAGTTACCATCACTTTCCCTTTTTTTATATTTCTCAAACAGGAATAGAGTTCCAAGAATTGTTTTTCCACTTTCCTCTCTCCCTCTCTCGTTGTCTTTAGCTTTGATTTTATCACTAAAATGATTTGATTTCAGGAATAAATTCCCCTCAGAGGTGGTTTCTTACACAACCTGAAGCATTTCGAAGCACCAGGTTTTGAAATAGTGCAGGTTTACAAGTAGAAGCTTAGTTTGTAAGATAAATGCAGACCTGATGATGTCATTTTAAAGTTGTTCTTTTTTATCTGAACATAAGTTTTACAGCTTTAAATCAAATGTAAAAATTTGGCTGAGTTCTGTTTGATTTTCTTTTATTTGGCAACACATTTGATTGGATTTGTTGCTGCAGAGATTGCAAGATTTACAGCGTTAGACTTATGTAAGGAATGCACTTTTTCAATCTATGCTGTGGTGTATATCATCCAACGTGGCCTTTTCCCACCATCTATGGTTTAACGTCGCATTAAGTACGGACACCCAGTCTGAAAGTGAAGCGCTCACTCATGTCGAGAGGGAGAAGGCTTCTCGCTCAGCTGCTGGGTTTGGAAAGACGCCAGGAAGCTTTGGCCAAAATTGCTCCCGCATTTCATTTCACTTGACTTACGGAGCTCAGTTTCATCAAAACTTGATGAATGCAATGGAGACAAAGAGCTGCTAAATATCAGACTTGCTAAGTGAGTGCGGTTACACAAATTAACAGATTTGTCCACAGTGAGAAGCACAAAACATGTTTCAGATGCCTTTAATGAACTGGGTCGTTGTTGTTGTGTGAATGTTTATGAAGCTCTCACATCCATTTTTCTTCCGTACGTGTTTTTCTGCATCTTTCTCGTGCCACAGTTTTTGTGCTATTTCAACATATCTATCAAAACGTTCAGCTTGTTCAGGAGTCGGACGCTATGACTTTTGGTATATGTGCACCTTCAGCTTTTTGAAATATTTAGCCTTTTTTGATTTTCTCATAATAAATTGAGCTCATTTGACATCCTTCAGATCTTTAGAGCTGTTTACAACCTTTCACATTTTGTTCTGGTTCAGCTTCTTTCAGCTTCCTTGTTCAAACTTGTAAAAAATCTGCTACTTTCAGCTAATTTCAGCTGTTTTCCCTCTGTTTTATGACTGTTTTAAATTATTTCTGCTAACTCCAATATTTTAGTGCTTCTTCTAACTTCTTTCTGCTAATTTCAACTTGTTAATCCTTTCTGCTTATTTATGCAAGTTTAAGCTTTTTCTGCTATTTCAGCTACTGTTTAGCTGTTTTATGGTTGTTTTAGCTTTTTCTGCTAATTCCACATTGTTAACTTTTTCAGCCTAATTCAGCAAAAATGTGCTCTCTCCACTTCCTTCTAGTAATTTAGGCTTCTTTCTGATTTTTTTTTAGCTACTTTTCAGCTAGTTTTTTTTTTCTTTAGCTATTTTCAGACAATTCCCACTTTGTTTGGGCTCATTTCTGCTTCTTTCAGAATAACATAAACATACTCTTCATGCTTTCTTCTGCTAATTGAAGCTCGTTCTGCCTTTTTGGCTAGTTTGTTAGCATTTTTAGCTAATTTCAGCTGTTTTCAGATAAATTCAAGTTTTTCGTGGTATTTTCTGATACTTTCAGCCTAAATAACTTATTTCTGCTCATTTCAGCTTGTTATGCACCTTTCATCATAGATAAGCTATTTTCACTTATTTCAGCTGCCTTTTTTGTTTTTTGTTGCTACTTTTAGCTTTAAAGGGTAATTTTACAGATTTTGCACTCATTTAAGCTTTTTCAGCCTAATTCATAAAAAAATAAGCTCTCTCTACTTCCTTCTGGTAATTTAAGCTTCTTTTTACCTTTTCAGCTTCTTTTCAGCTATTGTTTAAGTAATTTCAGCTTTTAGAGTTAATTTACTTATTGTTGTGCTCATTTCTGCTTATTTAAACCAAATTCAGTAAATACGTGTTCTTTCTGCTTTCTGCTGCTAATTTAGACTTGTTCTTCCTTTTCAGCTACATTTCAGCATGTTTTTAGCTCATTTCAGCATGTTTTTAGCTCATTTCAGCTGGGTTTTTAGCTCATTTCAGCATGTTTTTAGCTCATTTCAGCATGTTTTTAGCTCATTTCAGCATGTTTT